GAAAGTAATTGATAGAGGATTAAGGACCTTATTGAAATCTAACTTATTTGCAAATGAGGTAAGAATTTGGAAGAATGAATCTAGAACCGAGCGCACTTTTTTGTGCGCAATAAATATACAGTTTTTTTTCATAGGATGGCACTGTAGCTCTCCGGTCTATCAATATATATTTTTTGGAGAGCTACAGTTCTGCAGCTGTAATCATTGTAAACAATATCTCCACTTGTAACTCTCAGGTTACAAAATAGACGTCCCTAACAATATGTTAGACATTATGTGGCAAAAAATAAAAGTGAAGTCTTTAGCTTGTATAGATTCCAGATATCACTTTCACAATTACTTGAAACATATAAATGCATATAAGTAAATCTGAAGAATCCATTACTGAAATACTTCGAATAACAAACAGTACTGACCAGACGCAACCTGACAGAAAGCAGTCCCAGAGCACTGCTTTCTGGGACTGCTTTCTGTCAGGTTGGGTCCGGTCAGTACTGTAATTGCAAATTTAAGCCCCCCCCCCCCCCCCCCCAAAAAAAAAAATGGGCATTCGGCTCGTCTTACATGTACCCCCTCCCAGGATTAAAAAAAAAATCTTTTTCTCAAAAACCAATGGTCAAGATCAGCTGAAACTTACGAGAAAGTATCATGGGGTTGTGTAGATTCTACATCTTCAAAATTATGAACCTTAATAGCTAGGGCAGGGTCATAATAAATACAATGTATTACAAAGGGAAATCTGGTAAAGAATATCATGGCCAAAGTTACTCAGTTGAACGATGTGGCCTATGGGCCTCTTGTTATTTCATTTATAAAGTAATTTTGATTATTTTGTTGTCGTTTAAGACGATTAACCATGCAGTCCACTCTTCTCTTTTTACAACAGGTGCCCCTACAGATTCACAAAGTCCTACATCGTCTCAAGCCGTGGTTCGGAGTCCGCTCTCTCCTAGACGGCCAGACTGGGAGAGGATCATACATTTTGGCCGTGGTTTGCGACGATGTGTAGCCTTTAGGACATCTTCTTGTGAAAATAGTTCTTTTATTTCATAAATTACAATACGATCCCTGAAAGCAATTATTTATTACATGTATCTTGAGATCAAAGGGGTAAAAACGGGTAAAAACTATCTATTTTGAGATTTTCAATCTTTTTCAAGCAAAATGTTGTTTGAGCAAATTCATTAATTTTTTTATTCTTCAAGGTTTTTGCACAGCAGTCAGATTTACACTAAAAGTAGGTGTGATCACTGCAGCTCACTAAATGATATACTAGTACATGTATATCCCCACCTCCAAATTATGGCAAAATCCATGTATTGTTCTCAGAGTGAACCCTCGGAGGGGTCCCTCGTATTATATTCTGAAAAATTCAGCTTTAGAGGATTCGTTGGAATGGCCTGTGTGACATGGCCATATTCCTATATTTACATTTCCAATGTCTTTGTCCGAGATAAAATTACCAATTGTAAATGTACTTTATTTCTCCATCAATGTTTTGGCGCGGTTCAAAAAAAACACGTACGTGCAGGGCGGAACAAATAGCTAGACAGAAGCAGGGCTTGGAGCACGTGGATTGGCAGAATCAAAGCATGTAAATATAAGGAATAACTGTCTTATTTTTCGATTTCATGAAGATGCATGATCAATCGACTGGCTTGCGTGATAATTTTATGCATAAACGCCTTCGGCGTTTTATGCCAACTATCATGCAAGCCAATCGATTGATCACTTCATGAAATCGAAAAATAAGACACTTATTCCTCAAATCAAGAAACCGATGAACTTCTAATGGATTCATGCGTTTTATTTAACAACGAATGACTTTTTTTATAAAAGTTTAAAAAATATTGAAATTTTAATTTTTAAAGACAAATTTGGTAAAGACAAATTTAAAAGATAAACCAATGCTCTTAAATATTAAATGCTTTTGTCTAAATTCTCATTTAACTAGCTCGTTGGAGTGCACCAACACAGTTTTTTTTATGGGGGTGGTGGTGGGGTGTTTTTTTTTTGTTTGTGTTGCCATGACAATTGGTGCCTAGCTATCCCCCCCCCCCCCCCCCGCACACCCCCCCATCATTTTCATATAACCATGTAAACAAGTGTAAAAGGTTTTTTAAAGTGGCAAAACTTGTTACCAATCCCACGCACACACACACTTTAATTGCAAAGATAGACATAATATAGAAATAAAAAGTTGTTGTGGCATTCCTCCTTAAATTAGAAACTTTTTTTTCTATTTCAAAAATTCGATGCATATCAAATTAAAAGAATTTATAATATGAAATTCATTTAAAGTCTGTTCTCTTTAAGAGTCATTAGACTTTGAATTACAATCAGAACATTGTACATCTTGATCCAATTCAGCTCTGATACAAATACAGATACTGGTATATCACCATTTGACGTTGGAGGACTGCAAATTTGAACTTTATTATACTGGGCACCCAGTGCCTAACCTGAAGGACTGATCTTTAATATATGTTTCTTGGGGGGATACCCCAGATTTAAACCTGAGACACATTTTTAGGATCGCCCTAATACTCAGACACAACTCTACAATAAATGCTCCAACCATTGTACCATGCTACTCCTATGTACATGTATAAAGGCCTATTAGTTTCTAAGGCATTTCATGATAGACAAGAAATGTCCATAAAAATTTATAGAAATAATAACAAATTCATCAACATATTTATTTACATAAAAAAAAATTGCAACAGATAATTACAGCTCTGACATATAAATGAAGGAAATAAATTGAACATACACAAAACCCTGGAATACCAGAGCACCTGAAAACAAAGCCTAAGGTGGATGTACCCCATGAGCAAGGCTGATTATTGACTTGCAAAAAAAGCAAGTTATGATGAAATAGTGTAGATATAGGTCAGATGCAGTGTACAAAGCATAAGGCTACCAATATACAAAGCATAAGATTACCAACATACAAAGCATAAGGCTACCAACATATAAAGCATAAGATTACCAGTATACAAAGCATAAGATTACCAGTATACAAAGCATAAGGCTACCAACATACAAAGCATAAGATTACCAGCATACAAAGCATAAGATTACCAGTATACAAAGCATAAGGCTACCAGCATACAAAGCATATTATTACCATTATACAAAGCATAAGATTACCAGTATACAAAGCATAAGATTTCCAGCATACAGAAGATTACCAGCATACAAAGCATAAGATTACCAGTATACAAAGCATAAGATTTCCAGCATACAGAGCATAAGATTACCAGTAAACAAAGTATAAGGCTATCACATCCATATGTGTAGCTTAACATATGCATGTATAATTTCTAGAATATCAAGTGCATTAAAGCAGCCTGCACTGTACTATAGTCTTTGTCTAGAGCACACTTATAGATATTAAGAGTGTCAAATGCAAGCATCCAAATATGCATTGTAAAGTGCTCTGCATGTTTGAGTTTTGAATCATCTTTGACCGAGTTTAATTCATGAATCATAAAGCGCAACATATAGTCTTCAGGTCTCTGCAAATATTTACATAACCAATTTAAAAACAGTTCTAAGCCCTGAAAAGAATTAATTAATTCTCTTGAGCAAATGCACACCTAAAACAAGTCGGTCAATAATTTTTTTCTTTTATCCTACTTTAGGAAGTACTTTGGGTACGTGTAAAGAGATCATGACAAACATTATATAGACAATTTCATGTTTGTCTGCAAAATTCATTCCTGTTACTATCTATACATACATGTAAGTCAACAAAATGAAAAGAAATAAACAAAGCAAAATCTTTAATACTTATATTTAGATAATTTCAAAATAACATATTGCTATGGTTCACTTGCCACCCACTACCCCCCCCCCCCCCCTCCTCTTTCACAGCCACCTCCTTCAAAATAAGCGAATAACATTGGAAACCTATAATGCATCCAGAAAAGTGTTCAAAACAACAACTGTAATCTCCTAACAAGAGATATTAGCTAGAAAAAATAAGTGTGTATATAATAATACTGCTAAGAATTTCCAAAGCTTATAGTCATATAATCCCAGATCAATTATGGAAAATGTCATGTGCACAATACAAAAATGAATCTGTAAAATCTGTGAAAGATAAATCAGAGAAATGATATTTGTGTTAAATAATGCAATAAATCCATAACCCTAAACAAAGTCGCATATTATATCCTTAATAATGTATGACAAACATTACTCAAAAGCCTACTTTGAAAAGCTTAGTTACTAAAGTTAAGTAAAATTCATTAGAAAATAAACAGGGCAACCTCTCTGTTAAACTATTTCCAAGTATCAGGAGAACTGGATTATAGAAACTACATGTACTGTATACAAGGCAATTTTCCCCCTATTTATTTTTGCCCTTAAACGCTTGAAAACAATGTCGTCACATTTTAAACTCGCCCAGCCAATTTTTTTTTTAAATGAAATTATACTGTATTTTTTGAATTCGCTCCATTTTAAATTCGCCCAAAAGCTAGGATAGGGCAAAAGGGGCGAAAACAAAACGGGGGCGAAAATTTCCCTGTATACAGTATTAAGTATACAGTTCGATCCATATTTAAATCTATCACCTCTTTAACCCAAGATATATGACACAGAGAGTAAAAAGTAAACTATACAAAACTGCATGAAAAATCCCTATATAAACCTGTGTGACATAAGATTATGTTAATCATAGATACATAATAAACACTGCATGTATGAAATTCCCATTTATACTTCAATTAACTCAGGTATAATTCTGAAACTATACAGACTATGCAAAATTATATGAAATTTCTAATATCCCTAATAACCCGGGGCGGCGATATACCATTGAAACTGTAAAGCATACAATACACATACATGTATTACATGAAAATTCTCATAACGCCAATAGCCCCCCAGAGGTATCATAAAAGCTATTAAGTTAATACCTTATACTAAACATATATACAGTAATTCCCATATCCTCAATTATATACCCCCACCCCACCCCATCCCCTGAATGGACCTTGACCACAATTAGCTTACATATAGACTTATATAGTAAAAACATTTGTTTTATTTTCTTTGTAACTTTTTAAAAAATCTTTGCTTCCAAAATTTCTTTGACATGATACAGCAATGTGTCAGATAAATATTCACATCCTGAAATAGGGGTGTTGAATGTGGAATTCCCTGGTTATTAATAAACTTCTGACGTCATGACCTCAGGATAGCTCTCACTCGGCAAAAAGAGTGTAAACAAACCAAATGAATGCTCTTTTCAATTCATATTTCTAGGCATAATTTTCGCTTGAAATGCACCTTGCTTCATATCATTGTAAACTTTAGACACTATACTTTTATTCTATACCCAAAAAGTATCTAAAACATGTGAGCTATTTTTATTTTTATCATTGAAAGGGAGGCATATGAATTTCCTACATGCGCTACATTTTAGCAATTTGACCTTCACCCTTTAATTGTGGCCCGGATCCAAATACCATGGAAACAATAGAGTAAACATTACTACACAAAGTTCCTAATTGCCATAAATAAAATATCTTTAGTTTTCTACAACTCCCCAAACCACTTTCTCTTTGGAGACCCTTGGAGACTTTTTAGAAGGTTTCCCTTTTCCAGGCTTATCATGAGCATTTGGTGACCTGAAAATTATATATACAGACATTAGACTAGGTTTAAAAGAATAGTCACCATGGTGCTTATTTTTCTTTTTGAATGAATTCCAAATATTACCAGGTAATACATAATGTTTTATAATCTTTCAAATTTCTTAAAAAAAAACAAACATGATGATCAGAGTATTTTACTGTGTTGGGGGAGGTACTCGGAGGAATTCCTGTGATCACCAGCATACGACTGGACACAGAGGGGGTACTCAGAGTAATGGCTGCATCTGATACAGCGTCATTCAGAAAACGTCTCCCATGCTTCTCCTTGAATCCCAAGCACCTGTAAAAACACACACTCACTTAAGTTTACTGAAGAGGAATATATTCAACTTTTGATTTAACTTCAAGAGAAAATTGAATCCATAATTTTGAAAATGCATAGAGCTGAAACGAATGTTCGAACATTCGTGAACGAATAGTTTTTCACGAATATTCGAATGGAAAATTTGTATTCGAATATGAGAAGTTTGGTCACATATTTAATACAACGTATTTCAAGAAATAAATGGTGTAGGCCTATCCACTTGTTTTAACATCTCTGTGGAAAACAAAGCAAACGAAATGCAAGTACGTGTTTAAATTTTTGTAAACTTTTCCAAATGGTACTTTAGGCTTCTGATAATTGAAACTTTGTCAGATTAATATTTTATCTATCTTCAAGCCAAATATTCAGCAACTATGTGTTTCCGAATTTTAATTTAGATATGGGTGACATTGACCGCCATGATTTTCAAAAGTAATAAAAAATTTAATTGTGCGGAGAGAAAATACCGGATCAACAATAAATAAACATTGTTAATACACAAATTTATAATTTATAAATAAAATATGCAGAAATCATATATGAAAAATATACAATCCCAAACCACTATATTTTTTGAGACCCTTGGTTACATTTTAAATTAAATATTGATTAAAAAATTATCATGAGCACACCTGAAAATTATATATACTATTTTTATAAAGAAAAACATGGTGAGACTTTTGCTGGTTTTCTGATTCGGGAAAATTATATTACCAGGTAATAATCATGCAATGTTTTATAATCGCCTAATTTTTAAAGAAAAAAAAAAAACATTGAGGATCAGAGTATTTTACTATGTTTTTTTTCTTGAAAATAAATGTGATCACCAGCATACATGTCAAACTGGACACAGAGGGGTTTACTCAGAGTATTTTATACATCTGATACAAAGAAATAAACAATAGGATTTGCAAGTAATGAAAAGGCACCTGTAAAAACACACACTTTTAGGTTTAATGAAGAGGAATATATTTTTCAACTTTTGATTTAACTTCAAGAGAAAATTGAATCCATAATTTTGAAAATGCATACTTTTTCCTTCAATTGTAACCTGAAATCACCATTTTTAACACAAACTTTAAAATAGCTACCTGAGGATTTTGGATACAGTGACAGCTCTGTGTAACCACAGTATATCCTCCATTTTGACATTAGTTCCACTAGAATCCCCCTTTCCAGGATCACTCCCGGCAGTGGCCATGAAGTCCCAGAGGTGGAGGGAGAAGCAGAGGCCGAGGAAGAAGACAGAGTCACATCTGAAGAAGACGTATGGCTCAGAGACATGGAGGAGTCACTCTCACTTGTACGCTGAGCAGTGGTGGATCTCTTGGGCACGGCTCCTCCGCTGAGCAGTGGTGGATCTCTTGGGCACGGCTCCTCCTCTCTCTTTATCTCTTTTTGCTTTGAGTTTCTTCCTCTTGGCAGAAGATGTGGGACAGCTGAGGGGATGTAGAGAAGAAGAGGATGCAGTCTCCAGAGTTGAGGAGGAGGAGGAGGACTGAGACTGGGAGGAGGTTTGAATTAATCCTCATATCGCAACTCTGCCACCACCAGATTAACCTCCATCAAAGTGTGGAAATATGTGGAGAATCTACCTTTGTCTGATACACCAATAACAATTCCTGTTCCACTCACTAAAGTACCGGACTGCCGTCCTAGAAAAGTAAACAAATCTTCTTTCCTATGTGATATGAATAGTCCTCATATGTATCTCATACATATCAAAAAAGTTTCAGATTTTTTACAAACAGCCATGACAACATAAAATATACAGTATAATCGAAAATTTTCATATGTACACAATTATGATACATAAAAGTCAGCCATTTTGGCCCCACCCTAGCCCTGGAGGTCATGATTTGAAAAAACCTAAATCTACACTACCTGAGGATGATTTCACATGAGTTTCATCTTTCCTGGCCCAGTGGTTCTTGAGAAGAAGATTTTTGAAGATTTTTCCAATATATTCCTATGTAAAACTTTGATCAGCCATTTTGGCCCCACCCTAGCCCCGGGGGTCATGATTTGAACAAACTTGAATCTACACTACCTGAGGATGAAGTTCCACATGAGTTTCGTCTTTCCTGGCATAGTGGTTCTTGAGAAGAAGATTTTTTATAAATGCCATTAATTTTTCTCTAATTCTGCTTGGAAAAGGATGTGGACCTTAATTTGAACAAACTTGAATCCCCTTTACCCAAGGATACTTTGTAGCAAGTTTGGTTGAAATTGGCCCAGTGGTTCTTGAGAAGAAGATGAAAATGTGAAAAGTTTACAATGATGACAACGACGACAACATAATGACAACAGACGACGGACAAATTTCGCTCAGAAAAGCTCACTTAAGTCTTTGGCTCAGATGAGCTAAAAAGTCATTCAATTCATTGTTAAACATAAGATGTAGCAATAGAGAAAATGTGCCTACTCTTTCTTTGTAACCTTGGAGTCGGTTTTACAGGACACCACCAGACACCCGGCCCCTGGAAAGTGGAGGTCTGTGTTAACCTTGACCTCTGTTACAGGAAATTCTACATAGGGAAACATCTCAGGGGCAGTCTGAAATAAAAGCAAACAAGAATATGTAACAAATTAAACTATCTCTTTTAAAAAGTATCAGCATTATGTGCTCTTTCACCTCCATATTTCACCTGGACCTGTCCTGAAGTTTTGTCATTGACCTTCAGTTTGCACAAAATAAAAGGCTCTGTGAAAAAAATATGAATTCATGAATTTCTTTTAGACTATGAAATATGTTTACCATTTAGATTTTCTTAATGAAATACATTAAAGGTGTTTAATAAAATACCTGGAAGCATAATAATTATGCAGATCTGGGTTGTCAATTCAATCAAATAATCCTCTCCTTGACTGGCAGCTCTAGCAATGGCGACAGCCAGCTCTCTTTTTAATATAGGGAAAAGAGTAACAATTATTTTCCCATAGAACTCTATACAAATCTTAGGCCCTCTCAGTACTTTACTTTGAAAATTTCAGAAAAATCCTTAGCATCATTTCAAACTTCATTCTAAGCCCTAACAAAAAATACTGAAAAAAATTTATGGTTCCATGGCGTTTATAGGTCAAAATTGCAATTATTTTCAACTTATAGAGATCCGCAGTAAATAACACATTGCATAAAAAATCAACATCCACTCCTAAAATCTTCCCTGGTAATTCTATACTTTCTGTAATATTCCCTCATCCCATCATTTATTTCAAACGTCATTAATTTTACTTTAAAATGAAAACAATGAAATACCTAATTTCAGCCAATGGTGTAACGCCTACCCCTTCAGTATTCTGTTTAATGTTCCAAAACAAACAAAGCCATGTGTACATCCGGGGATTTGGTGCCCTCATTCCTATACTTACATACTTACCTGTCCCAGAATTAGTCAGTTGTGGTTACTTCAAAGACTATACACCCACCTGTGAACATGTATGAAATTTGAGTCCTGTGACTTCAGTGTATTGGATACTGTGTCCATCTCAAAAGATGACACCTTACTGCTACCAGCACAGTTCAATAGAGTGAATGACTTTCTGACCGGTGATCTTAGTTGGATATATTTGTGACTGTAATAAATAAAATATTTGTTCAATGAAGTTTTTTTGTTTTATGATGTTAATAAAATGATATTAAGTCAAAACTGAGTCAATTTTTTCATAAGGGTGGATTCTACCCCGAATTTGAAAATAGGTCCAAAATTGCATGAAAACCTAGCAAATAAGGCAATATACAAAGATTTCAAAAGGACAAATTGGCAAACTCTTTGTTGATTATTAAAAGTTAATCATTATTGACTCTGATATACCAAAAGATTCTTAATTATCTGGTCCCCCTGCTGATTAAGTATGTACGAAAAGTTTCACCTCCCCCATCTAATAAAGCTTTATTAAGAGAAATAGCAGGTGCCCACAGGGGCCAGTAACATGCTGTTTTTGTTTTACGTAATCACTATATATATATATACAAAAAAGGAACTTTTTTTGGTTTTTTTTCTTTTTTTGTATACATATAGTGAGTACGTAAAATCAAATACAGTATGTTACAGGGCCCTGTGCAGGTGCCCCCTATATCATCTTTGTTTAATTTAGTTTAATTTAATTAATTTAGACAAAAGAACCCCCTCCCCCCATTTTGATAACACAGTAGACTTCAGTCACTGCAGCCTTAAACAGCATTAACTATTTTTCAAGTTTTTGGAATTATAAGCTTAAACAAGGAGAATTTAAAGCAATGCCAAAATTCAAAAACGTCATTATAAATCATGGTTACAAGCCCCAAAATGTGCCACATAATAAGGGGGTGAAAAGTAAAGAGGAGGAAAACTTACCTGCACCATACAGCAGACTGTCCGAGGAGATTTTGATAAGATAATTTCGGACATTCCGTCAGCTGCGGAAAAAGAGGAAATGCTTGTGCTGGGAATGTTCGCCCAAGGAAGCTGAGAGATGAAACCCCACCACAGTGCTTAAATGAAAAGGATTCAGTGCAGTAAGTCAAATTTTGTATAAAACAATGATAACAAAGCAATATTTTTCAAATATTCTTACAGATTAAGCATTTATATATCAGATATCAAGTTAAAAATGTAAAAAAAATTAAGTTTCTAAGGGTGATCACATGTTATACACAATTACATGTAAATACATGCAAAGTTAAATGTGATACATGCAGCTGAACTACATTTTTACATTTACAAAGAAATCATAAGTGTTAAGTTGAAACAATTAAAATTACATGATGCTGAATTTAAGTTCTGTATGTCTAGTCAGTAGGTCTAAGGGAAATAACTCTACTGACTACTCTCATGCTCTTCTACCTGTTGACAGTTTCATGCAAATAAACCATTGTGACTTTACCTAGGCTGGCTAACCAAAATTCCCACAGACTTCTACACTTGGGGAAAACAGCCGAGATGAATGGAATGAAGTTGTCTCACTGCACCAGCTACAGACACGCGACTGTGATGGACCCCTCACGTGGGACTTCGGCATCTGAGGATAGGCGTGGTCTCGCAAGTAGAATGGACCTCCACTGCACAAAATGCCTGTTTGTATCCCAGCGGTACAAGTTATACGGGGAGGTTGAGACCAAATCCCCGGGAAGGAAAGCTGCCACTCTGAATCACGGTCTACAAATTGGCCTCAGTCAAACTCCTATAGGTAATGATGGAATGAGGAAAATTCTTCTTCTGACCAACACTCCCCCTCCTACTTGTAATTCCCTACAAAAATGTCAAAAAAAATTATGCCCATGATTGAAAATATAAATGAGGCTGACATGAGTAACCGGTGTCGCCAGCTGGTGGATGTCAACACTCTAAGGGGAAGTGACTCCCCACATGCCATCCCCGTACAGTGCGATGGCATGTACAATAATGCCCTGTACTCGAGGGTGGGTGAGACACCCTTCCAGCCGGCGACACAGACAGTGTACTCATTTGCTGAAAATGTTACATCAAAACATCAAATAGTTAAAATGGTTAGTAAAAATAAAATTTGCAAAACATGGCCAAAACATGGCCACTTACTGCAGTCCCGTGGTGTGATGATTGGGGAACTGCTAACCATCGAGTGTAACCACTCCTGGGGTGTGTGGTCTGCTGCAAAATATCCAGTTCACTACATTGACACTCGACACTTGTCCCAATCAGAAACCAGAAATTGGCCAAAGAGATAAGAGATAAAACCAAACTTTTGCATAATTTTGCCCTAGATGCTGTTGACATACGAGGGCTGTTCAATAAATAATGTCCTCGGTGCTCAGAAAGAAGCAAAAGACGCTTTTCAATGTTTTAGTCTTCATGATTTTACTAATTAATCTCCTCTAAGTAAAATAGATGGCCAATTTCTGAGTTTTTGTAGAACTCATTTTTGGATATGGGTAACTGGAAAATGGCAGCTCCAATGATTTCCCGGACTTGTTTCTTCCCTATGAAAGGTGTTTTTTCAAGTTTGAAAATAGCAAAAGGTCAAAACTTTGCGAATATTGTTCATGGAAAAAACATTAACTTTCTGTTTATCCCGAAAACCCCTTTACTCTTCAGGGCATGCAGGTTTGGACGCTGTCTTGAAGAAATTCGTATAAGGACGGTCCTTCCTCTAATAAACCTTTTGATTTTTTGCAAAAAAATATCCCAGTCTCACGAATATATTGACAACTCGATTTTTAAGAAATTTACTTGTCTCTTTGCTTTTGAATTTCTGTCTTGTCAGACATTCGCTGTTTTTTATCAGAAAGGCCATAAAAATAAAACAAAGATCAGAATTTTACTTGATAAGAAGGTCATGTGACCTTTGAGTACCAAGAGAATCAAATTTGCTATGTGTCAGAAAAAACCAAACTTTTTATATAATTTTGCCCATTATATAAGATGCTGTTGACACTCTGTAAATGTATATATTTCACATATTTCTTTGGGATTTTTAACAAGTTTAACGACAGCTATAATGAAGCTTTTATTTTCACTCTAGTTTACTGATTCTTTACCATTCATTTATAATGCAGTGTCTCGAAAAGCCCTTGTTTCCGAGCTTCTCACGATGAAACTATGTGATGAAAAGTGGTCACATAAACTGTTATAATAAATTCATGAAAGATTCAATAATGAGAGAAAGTCAAGTTTAATGTCAAATGGTATCTGTAATGTATGTTATATAGTTTAGGTCATTATTTATTGAACAGCCCTCGTATGTACAGCTGAGATTAATTAAGCTCATGTAGTATATGCTCGAGATGCAGATAAATTAAAAAACAAGCTCTCATATGCCAAACATGCAATACTGAAATGTTGCATGGGAGATTTAATGCACTATGCAGAAAACACTCTCTGGTGTGCAAAGGGAAAGTAAAAAATAACTGGGTTAGCAAGAGTTCTTATTTAGGTCAAGGTTTTACAATACTGTCTTCCACAGAAAATGATCCTCTCCTGGTTAGTGGCATGCGGCTCCATAGTAAGGTGCATGGGATCGATGCATAACTTCTTATGGCAGAGATGACTGACCTCCAGGCCTGCAACTGCAAACTGCGACCTAGTCTGTCTCTTCTCTACCATAAGAGCTACCTGATGCACCCTCTTGACTGTACTGCCAATTTACCCTCATCTTCACATACCTATTTCTTGCCCTCCCCCCTGTCCAAGGTCTTCAACCCCCACTTTTTCACTTTTTGAGGCTAATTTATCCCTCAGGGTTTCAAATATATCTGGCATTATTCTTAGCTTACTAAAACTCAATGAGTAGAATAGCCAAAGCAACAATTTCTGTCTAGAATAGCTAAAGTAACAATTTCTGTCTTTAAAGTCACATGACATAATTTTTAAAATGGGGGTCTCTATAGGGAAAAGAGTACCAATTAATTTCCCATAGAACTCAATACAATCTTAGGCCCTCTTAGTACTCACCTATTGTATTTTCAGACAAATCCTTGGTATCACTGAAAACAAGAGGCCCATAGGCCACATTGCTCACCCGAACATTGTGGCTAAGAAAAAGAAGAAATTGGTTTACAATATACTATTGAAAAGTGGCAATGAGAAGGGTATCTTGAGAAGAATTAAGATTTTTAAAGAATTTTCCTATATATTTCTACACAAAACTTTAGTCGGCCATTGTGGCCCCGCTCTACCCCCAGGGGTCATGATTTGAACACACTTGAATCTACAACTTTGGTCAGCCTACTCTACCTGAGGATGTTTACCCATAAGTTTCATCTTTTCTGGCACAGTGAAGAAGATTTTTAAGACATACCACCAAATTTTCACTCATTCTCAATGATCCCCCCTTGAATGAGGGTGTGGCCCTTTATTTGAATATACTTGATTCCCCTTCATCCATAGATGCTTTGTGGCAAGTTTGGTTAAAATTGGCCAAGTGGTTCTTGAGAAGAAGTCAAAAATGTGAAAAGTTTGCAGACAGACAGCTAGACTGACAAACACACAGACGCCAGACAAAAATGTGATCAGAAAAGCTCACTTGAGCCTTCAGCTCAGGTGAGCTAAAAATACAGGGTCCCATGGAGTTTATAGGTCAAAATTGCCCTATTCCGCAACATACAGAGCTCGGCAGTAAATAACATGCTATTTCAAAAATCAACCCCACTCCTAAAACTTCCCCTGGCTTTTCTATACTTTCTATAATTAATTGGTAATCTTTTCCCTATAACTTAACCTCATCTGTCTGTCCCCCAGTGATGCTTGACTTTCTCAGTCCCTGTGGGGGCCTCTTTAACATCTCTATTGGGTACCAGAACCTGACCAGGACACCCTCACTTCTCAGGTAAACCTCAACTTGTACTCATTAGACTGAAATGGAATGAATCAGGCATTTTGAAATACAGTAAAACTTGGAGAGACAGGGCACATGTCACATGACTAAAAAGACATATAACGTCATAATCGGTGATGATATACATGTTAAACGTTAATGTTAAAATCAACAATTCTTGAGTAATTTTATTCTAAATTCTAAAATTGCTTTTTAAACATTTAATTCAAGAAATTATCATCTGTGGTTTTGGTATGGTGGCAGTTTTACATGGGGGTCCTTTCTGGGCTTTGATTTCTTCCACCATGGTGGTATCAGGGCTGGGGCTTCCCTCGTTCTCACCGTCAGTGTGGGGGTGGAATGGCAGGTGACAGAAACTCTCCCTGATCTCTCTGGTCAGGTCATTCGCTCCATTAGCCGCCTCCTTGTGTTGCTGTCCCTCGCCAAAAGCAAAAGGCCTCGTTCCAAAGTTTGCTCCGATTCTTGTGTTCTAAAAAAATATACCCCAGTCAGCATACATACAGATATCAAGTTATGCAAAATCTGCTGTTATTTGAATCTCAGATAAATGAAAATAAAACATTGGAGAGAGGGGAGGGGTGTTATAAAAAAGCACCTCACTTTTTTTGAATATGAACAACAGGATACATTCCATTCGACACATCATCCATGTAGGCATTGACAATTTAAAGAAAATTGGGTTCATAAAAAAAAATCAATGACATAATACAGTGTAAATCAAAGTAATTTGTTATTTTACCAGGTATAGAAGAATAGACCAATCCACACTTTACAAAAGTTGCTTCCCTTTGCAGGGTCAACCAAAAGGTCAAGAGGGAAAGAAACAACATTTCTCCTTTTTATGCTACCAAACATTTGGGTGGGCTATGATGAATCCACTGTGTTTTAACACCCTTCCCCGCAGTCACACTTTTTAACGCATATACCATTTCCTATCTCTAACGCAAAATCATGCACATCCTGTTTTTTTTAAATCACGCATTTTCTCACACTTTAAAAAGTTCATTTTATATTTAATTTTTTCCCAATATCCTTCTATTTCATACTTGCAAAAATCTTTAAAAAATAAGAAAATTAAGTTATTTTCGAATAAAATATATAACGTCACAATATTATGTATGCTAAACTTTATAGAAACATATTCCACACTAAAAGGTGCTTACGGGGAAATGGTAAATTTCTATTTCTATGACGTGAACATTAAGTGTATGTTGCATAATAGTTCAGTAAGTTGTAAAGAGTTAAATTGTTTTCTTTGGATGTGTGGGTACATGTAGCCCCAACATGGGGCAATCAGTGTACACTATGCAACGATTCTTCCCAGTCAAATGACAAAGTTACAAACCTGAAAACTTCGAAGGCTACTGTGAGGATTCTTTGGGTTCATCCCCTAAGATGGCGGTCAAGGGACATAACTTTTGAAAAGTGTGGATTCAACTATTCTTGAGGGTCTGTTTAGAGCGGTTAGCAACACTGTGTCCCTCCAGTTTTTCAGACTCCCATAATTTGACTGTACCATCATTGGAGTCCGTGGCAAAGAATGCTTGGTCTTGAGAAACTTGAATCCTGCTAGTAAATAACACATTCTTTAATTATGTACATGTACTAGTATATAATTACTAGGGCTGGGTATTGGCCCGAGATTTCGTATTGCGATATATTGTGATATTTTTAACTGTATTGCGTTATGTATTGCAATATTTTCAATGTAATAAAAATGGCATTTTCTTACTATATTTACTTAATTTACATGCAGAATTTACATAACTATAATAAGTAACCAGCATGGAAAAAAAATCTTGTTGATTTTATTTAAGATATGCTCTGAAATGTTCCCACAAAACAACTTCCGACTTACTGTTTCGCTTAATAACAAACTTTCATGAGTCCATTCTTATATTTAATCATTTGACACAATTCCTTAATCTTTGCATATTGCCAATATATCGATATTACAAAATCGTATTACGAATAATTACAAATTATTTGGCTAAGTCAGTTAAATTTCAATAAAATCATTGCTAAATAGTATTACATAGAGAAGATAGATGTTAGTGCTTAGAAGAGTTATTCCCCTTGATGATACACTTTTCTTTTTATACAGGTCATTAATCAGTACTCTCTGTGCCCTGCCCCCCTCCCTACCTGTTGACTGCCGCCCTGTGTTAAGAGAGGTGGGCCACCAGCAGCCCCTTGGGTTTCCAGTTACTGGGTGGGGGCCTCCTCTCCCAGGCTATCTCCAGTAAATCTTTAGACTCGGTCGTGTACAAGTCTCGCTTCTTGTGGACAATGTTCCTCAGGACTATCTTGCAGGGATATTTTTCTGTAATTCAAAACATTGTATTTTTTTAGGATTAAATGCTTCAAATAGCAGTAGTATTTTAGCACTAGCACATACAATACAATAAATCTACATGTACCGTATATACTAGCCTATAAGTCGGTTGTGTATATTCAATTAGCTGATGTACTGTAAATGTATTATATTTAGCGTGTACGATATTTAGTGGAAATTGATTTTTTAATGAGTTAGCGTAGATTTGATTTAGCGCATTTCTCAATGTTCTTATTTATGTATATATGTCAAGACATTTAGCTAATTGTATTTGAATTAGTGGAAGTTCCTTTCCACCAAAAGCGCTAAAAAGAATACACAGCCAAATGTGATACGTTTTCAGTATCAGATATGGAATGACCTCATATAAAATCATATACTTTTAATAGCTTGCCTATTAGTCAGACAAAGAGTTTTAGACCAGAGATTAACTTCCCAAAATCTGACTTATAGGCGAGTATATACGGTATATCACATGTTTATCAGCACAGTTAATTAAAATTTTAAAGCATCTGAGTTACTTATACATGGCGGTTCTTACTGGTGGGGTTTTAGTCGGTGCCTTTCTCTGTCAGAGACCTCACTGACCCCTAACATGACCCCTGACTCTGTGACTGACCCCTCAGATGACCCCTGACTCTGTGACATCATTACAAAGCTTCCCGATGATGAAGATGATGCCTGACTCAGGGTCTGTGAAGTGTTTAGCTTCCTCTCCAGACTCTCGTCAGTTTTCTGTATAGGGTCGACATCCGGGCTTTTGGAGACAAACCATTGGAGGAGGAATCTGATTCATTGGAGCCAAACATACCCTTCCACTCAGAGTTCTGAAATATCCATACAATATCATTAAATAATATTAAATTACCATTAAGATACCTAAGAATCCTTACATTATTTTTTTGGTCAATTAAAATGTAGGCATTTAGGATTTGTCTTTTTTAAAAAAATGACAAGAACTCCCCCCCCCCCCCCCTAAAAAAAAATCACTTACATCAATAAATATCAACATTTTCATTTTTTGGAAGCAAAATTTCTCTGCGTATCGGGGTAAAATTTAATTTTCTATTAGTTAAATTTTTTGCAAACGTTTCAAATTAAATTGTAACCTCTAAATTTTAATGAGACCAACTGAATTTTGCACTAATGATATTATCTACATGTAACAACAGGAAAACACTGTGTACAGTCAGTAGTATATTTACAGTACACAAACCTGAAAGTACTTAGATCCACTCCCGGTTGTTTCGGATCTTTCTGTTTCAGTAATTCAGCATGTCTCCTGGTTATGGCTTTACCTGGGCCCACAATAGAGATTATCTACCATGGAAATTCCCAGACTCCTGTTGAGTCTTCACAGACTTAAGTGAGTCTCACAATCAGGAACTGCAATATTGAAAGCTTCTCTGAATTTAGAATAGAGAAATTAACATGAACAGCTAGTTTATGAACCAATTTTACTGTCAGAAATGAAGTTGAGAGCTTGCTTACCCTGCTCTGGACCTGTTTATTTTCATTATGTAATCTTTCCAGGCCTGAAAACAAATTAAAATTATCAATTGTAATCGTGATATGAAATACTCTCTTTTAAAATTAAATTTATATATTATATAGCCATGATTTTCTTGTCATTTATTTAATAAGTTGATATTTATGGCATATTCTTATGAATTAAAAAAAGAAAAAAAAAAACGATTTGATTGCTTCTTTATCAGCTTGGCATACAGTGCGGTAGGCATCAAAAGCCTGAAAGTTCATTCGATGGTCGGTACGATCTCCAGACAAGGTACACAAGATATACACAAAAGCAGCAAGCTAAATGTCAATCAAATCAAAGTATCCAATCCCAGGCTTAATTTCAAATGATTGACAGAGGTTCTAAGACCAGGTAAATTTGAAGGAGGTGCTTATTTTCTCCCCCTTTAAATTGATCTATATAGATCAAAATAAAAAATATACCAGTTCTTGAAACCACAATTTTGGAACTTGAATGGACCGTGCCCGTTATATGTGAAGTAGAACCTCCCCGTGGGGGTCTGTCCCTGTATGGGGTACTCTCCTGTCCTCTCCCACCCTATACCTGTTATGTCCCTAGCATTCAGGGTGATGTCTAGTCTAACACTCCTCCACTGCAGTAGAACCTCCCCCTGGGGGTCTGTCCCTGTACGGGGGACTCTCCTGTCCTCTCCCAAACTATACCCGCTATGTCCCCAGCATTCAGGGTGATGTCTAGTCTAACACTCCTCCACTGCAGTAGACTGGCCCCATTGTAGTGGACAGCCTTACCATTGCTACAGAATGATTTATTTCTGATCACATTTTTTTTCATCCTGGGAACAAAACTGAATTATTAAAGGCTACATGTTATGCAGATGTAAAACTATAGAAAAACTCAAATTATACTGAAGGACTTACTTTAGGAAGAGGCATGTTCCTACAGGGTTAGTCCAGGCTCCATCTCTCTTGTCGGCCGACAGAGCAAAGCCAAACGAGATGACCACATCGTTCTCCTCCTGACCGTCTCCAAACGAACAGATCTCCAGATCCCAGTAAAATGCTGGATTCTGTATTAAAAGTAAAGAAATGGGGCAACTGTTTCTCTCTCAATATTTTTCGTTCTGAATTAATGGGTTTCATGAACGCATAGAAAGGACAAGATAGGGTAACAGCCAAATTTTTGATATAAAAATCAGAACACTGATAAAACTATGATCGTTTGTAGTTAAGAAGTTAAAATGAAGCTTACTTTAAGACAAGCACTAATTTTGATTCAAAGGCTACATGGAAGCCACTAGAGGGTTCAGAAATAGGACATTTTCCCGAATTTCCTCAATTCCGGTGGATTTTCATCATATTTTGGGTACATTTCTCTTTGGAAAACATAGAGCACAAGCTTGCCTATCTGAGATTTTTACACATATACTGCATCTGATATCAGTGTATAAAATATATAAATTTGGTAGATAGGCAAGCGTGTGCTCTATGTTTTCCAAAAGAAAATGTGCTGTAAAATTAGTGAAAATTTGCATGAAAATGAGAAATTTCAAAATTTACCTATTTCCTGACCTCACTGCGACCTCTGTATATTCTTAATCTTAAAACCAGTACTCATTTTGTGGCAGGGGTGAAAACAGGTTTTCATGGATAAACTGTTGGATCATTCTGAAAGACACCCAAAATTGGGGGCCAAATACTGGTCTTACCCTATCTTGTCCTTTAAAGGAATATAGGTGAATTCTAACTTATGCTAAATATTAAAAGAATAAAGATTAAAATCTTTATTTTCAAGGCATTTATGCAAGAGAAATTAGCCTTTACGGTTTTTCCTGGTATTGCTCTACCTGTTGTGGAACTGCTTGGATGGCGTAGATCATGGTGCTCCTGGGTAGTCCACTTCCTGTGCTGAGGTCACCAAGGAAGGTCACTCCAGTCATGTTCTGAGAGAATAAAAAGGCCTGGACCGGGGGAAGGATCGATTGGCATCCAGCAACATCTCCTGATTCTGTACAAAACACAGTTTACAATTTTCAATTTGACAAAGTGTTATTCTATAATTAATAAAGACTCATTTTTTAGATTCATAAACATTGTACAGGTCTCACTTATTTAATGATGCTGTATGTGTTTGAGTTTAAGATTTAGCTCTTTGTAAATAAAGCTTTACTTTAATTTTGCTTAATCCAGAAATTTTTCATTTTTAATCATTTCAACTTACTCACAGCCCGACTGTCAAGCTTGCTGGGTGGAGATGGAGGTTTAGCACAATCCTTGTGTAGTAGCCTAAGTCTGTTGCAGTGGACTTCCACAACAGCTAGTCTACCTCCTGTAATATAAAAATACATTTTTTAGTACATGTAAAATGTCTCAGCTAATCATAAAGATTTAGTGGGAAAAAAATGAATAACAAGATTTGACAAACCTGAATTATTATAATCCTTTGCAAGGGACTTCAGAATATCAGTAGTGGCTCCACAATGCTGAATGATCTCCTTAGCGAACTCAATGTCCTGTAGATACTGAGCGAGCACAGGGGCCAGTAACACGCTGTTTTTGTTTTACGTAATCACTATATATATATACAAAAATTGTATACATATAGTGAGTACGTAAAATCAAATACAGTATGTTACAGGGCCCTGTGTGAGCGAGCACCGTGAGTACAGGCTTGGGTCTGAAGCTCGACCACGACACGGCACACCTGATTACTGAGACTGTTACCATCCCCTGTCACAGGCAAAGTCTGTTGGAAGGGGCAGGTCCTGTCGTCCTGGGGGAGCAGAATGGCTTTGATTGTGGTCACCAGGGACTCCCTCACTGGCACACTGGCAGACTTGTAGATCTGGATTAAAATAAAACAAGAGGCCTTAAACATTTAGCTTTATAATGTATTCAAAATCATCCAGTTTCTCTCTACTTACATTGTATACAAGTAAATCTCTTACTAGTATTTATTAAATACAATTATAATGCTATTAATACGAGGGGTTATCAAAAAAGTTCGTGGACTAATGTCATAAAATTAAAACCGTTTTAGGCAAATCAACGAATTTTAAAATAACAAGATAGCATAATCTTTTCTATCTTAAGTATAAACCATAAATAATAAATTTTATTTCATAATAAATTAGTAATGTATTTATAAGCAATTGTATGTCCAGGTGGCGCAACCTCGAAAAGAACGTTTTTGCGACCCATGCATGTGCTAATGAGAAAAACTCTTGATACGATCATTTAACATTTAAAAATCCCGTTAATTCAGGTATGTGTCAGGACACCATTGTTCCATTAAATATGAAATTTTCACTTATATCTGAAAGCTTTAGAAAATTTTATCGTAAATTTTACACGGATTGTCCAAACAAATGAGGCCTTAACAATGACGTTAAATGGGGGGGGGGGGGGAGGGGGGTCCGTTTCCAATATTCTTTAAAGTTTTGCCCCTGAAAAAAATGGAATTCCAGTTATAAGTATGATCAATTATGGCTTAGTTGTTCTTGAGGAGAAGATTTTTAAAGAATTTTCCTATATATTTCCATGTTTACAAAACTTTGGCAGGCTATTGTGGTCCCGCCCTACCCCGGGGGGTCATAATTTGAAAAATCTTGAATCTACACAAGAAATGCACTTGAGGATGCTTCCATATAAATATGATCAATTTTGGCTTTGCTATTCTTGAGAAGAAGTTTTTTAAAGAATTTTCCTATAATATTTCCATGTAAAACTTTGGTCGGCCATTGTGACACTGACCCCACCCTATCCCGGGGGGTCATTATTTGAAAAAACTTGAATCTACGCTACCTGAGGATGCTTCCATATAAATATGATCAATTTTGGCTTTGCTATTCTTGAGAAGAAGATTTTTAAAGAATTTTCCTAAAATTTACTTCTATGTAAAACTTTGGTCAACCATTGTGGCACCGTCCTTAAACCCAGAGGGTCATGATTTGAATAAATTTGAATCTACACTACCTGAGGAAGTTTTTGATGCAGTTGAATAACTCCCACTAATACCTTTCAGCATATTAGATTTGATAAATATATCTCGAATGATTTAATGAAACTTAGCTTAACACATTTTTTAAGAAAAGAGAGATGAAATGAAAGGTTGGGGTCAAAATGCTGTTGCGGTTGAAAAACTGACATCACAATGAATTTACTTTTAACAAATGAATTTTGATAAAAATATAATTAATGATTTATTTAAAACATAGATAAACACTAATTTTAAAAAAGTGAGGTCAAGGTCAAAGGAAATGTCAAGGTCAAAACAAGTTGATGCATTTTATATTAAAATAGCTCTCAGCAGTATGTATCAGCATATGAAGTTTGATAAATATATCTTGAATTATTTATTCAAAATTGATCTAGACATTTAAAATTTTAGAAAAGTGAGGTCAAGGTCACAGGAAAGGTCAAGGACAAAAAGAGTGAAACATTGTAAAGCTTACATCAGTATTTCATCATGTGAAGTTTCAATATACAACTTGAATGGTTTCTTTAAATCAAACTAAACAATGTAATTTAAACATGTTAATAGACAGTTAATTGAAGGTCAAAGGAAAAGTCAAGGTAAAAAAAAATGTTGCTGCAGTTGGATAGTTTACATCAGTATGCATCAACATATGAAGTTTGATCAGTCCATCTTGAATAGAATCTTTTAAACCGAGCTAAAAGTGAGGTTAAGGTCAAAAGAAGGTCAACATGGTCAAGGCCAAGAAATGTTGACGCAGTTGCAGAGTTCTCCTCAATATTTTTCAGCATATGAAGTTTGATGAAAATTTCTAGAATAGTTTCTTTGAGCCCGATGGAAAGACAGATGGAAGGTTGGAGGACGGACATGATAAAAACTATGTATACATGTATTC